TGCGTAGAACGGGCACACAGCTAGTTATTAATAAAGTTGAGATTACTAAAGGTTCTACAAAACAAAACATTGAATGATAAAAATACATTTGTATTTAAAGTAACAGATAGATTGACAAAATTGTAAAACGATTGTATAATATCAAACAATATCAAATTATTTACAGTATCACGGTTACAACTTTTAAACTGTAATGGAGATAAGATAGCTGTAATGGTCAAACGTATTATTACGTCATCTTTTTTGGCCATCTGTATATAATTGCAATGTGAAATGTAAAATGGTGTTTGCAGTATAGAAATAAATAAATAAATAAACTACTCTTGTTATGACTCAATGTTAACATCTTTAGGACCTTTCATTTTATGCTTTTGTTAGTGGGGACTGGTTAAAACACCACAGTACAGTAGGTTTTGCAAATATGATTGTGAGATGATATATAATCTGAACTAGTTTATGCATGTTGATAATAATATGTATTTTAATTTAAGTACTTTAATTGATTCGGTTATATGTTTACCTCATATAACATTTGAACATGGATTGAAACAATAGATGTCTTTGGAATACTCTGAGAGTGAGAAGCAAAACATAACTTTCAGCAATGTTGCATCGAAATTTACCTTTACTGAGTGATTCAGAAATGTAATTGTAAAATATTTTGTCAACATGACTAGAATGTTAATAAAAAAGATGTCAGCACGAAATAGTTTGTAAGATAAAAAATTGCAGCATAGGACAACTTATATAGTGTTCTAACCTAAAACATTGTTATTGTTTCAATGTAAAAATTCAATTGATACAAAATAACTATGTTACCAATTTATGTTTGTAAACAAAAATAATTTTTTTAATGGTGTCATAAAATCAATGGGGATCCAGGTGTCCCTATCTCCGCAATGTTAATTTGCTTGACTTTAAGATCCTTTTTCTCTGAAACTAAGAGGGGTATCCCTACAATTTTTTTTTTACTTGTCAGTTTTTCCTGGAGAACAACTTAAGCTAAGGGTTTTTTTATTACTTAAAAAATAATTATTATTTGGATATTTTTAAAATTCTTATAATTTTTACAAAAAATATTTCTTTTAAAATTATTTTGCTTGAGAACTAGGACAGTTACTGTAAATTCCTTAGCTTAAATTATACTGTCTTTTATGGTGATCAAGATAAAAAAAAATCATGATGATATCTCAAACCGTTCCTGAGAAAAGGTATTTTATATCTAAAAAAACACAACTTCCGGGAACCGCAAAATGAAAATAGGCTATAAGGGTTATAATAGTAAAATTCTTACTTTAGTGCATCCCAGCTCCATATGAAGGGTTGTCTGGGTCCTCTTCCATCTCATACTGATCTTCAAGTCTCTTTTTGAGCAAGGACTTCTTTTGACGACACTTTTTCTCAATTTCTTCAATTGCTTTGTCGGCCTTCCTAACACGCAGCACATCAACTCGTTTCATTCGTTTAGCACAGTTTGAGCCTGGAGGAATACCTAGCTTTTGTAGTATATGGCATCTGGAAATATTTCCTTCATTATATGTGGAAATTGCATCGTAAACTCCTAATTCTAATGTTTTTTTCATCACAAATGTGGATTTAGGAAGTCGAGACCAGATTACACTATTGAGCGATTCACTCGCATTCTGCGTTCCCCCATGTAAACATCTGTGCAGAAGTTCAGGGTTGGACAGGTCTTTGAAAATAGGCTCAATTTCCTTCATCACAATTGGAGCATAATGACTGTGTTGATTGTGGTCATATATGGTTCATCATTAGATTTGGCACGTTGAAATTTACACCAACTTTCGGGGCCAGTGGGACAAAGCTCGTGTTTGGGCGATTCATTGGTCGAAGAAAGATGAAAATATTCGGCCCACACAGCATTTTTCATGGCATCTAAGCTATGCACATTCCTTCTGATTGCCAGTCCATAATAGTTCTGGATCTCATTTATTGCTACATGTGTGAGCCGTCCACGACCTCCTACAGTTTTCCTTTTAACTTTTCCATAATGTTCCTCTTAACTTAATGTTCCTCTTAACTCCTAAACTCCTCTTAACTCCTTTAACATAATGTTCCACATGTTCCTCTTAACTTTTCCTTTCCCATTTTACACTTTAGAGTTCGAAGGCGTGAGCCCATTCGTTTTTGAATATGGCCCACACATTCCAATTTCTCAATAGAGAAATCTGGGCCATACGGTTTAGCTTCTACCACTGTAGGGTATGCAGAGCTATCTCCATCGCCAAGAAAATTTTTGAATCTTACCTGATAGGTAGCCTCAGAGCTTTGAAACATATCAAGTATTCCCTTAGCCTCCATCCCACCGCTAACACCTGAGTAGTTTGCAACACATGTTGGGTCATGTTCATTGTTTAGTCTGCCAGAACACCTACAATATTTGGTAAGGATCCTTACATCTATTACCTTTCCATTGACCTCACTGATGGCACTGACAATTCCATTTTGGGAAACGTGGCCGAGGGGCACTGGGGAATAGGAATTTAAATACTACTGCAATTTTTGACGGATCATGGCAGCGCCTCCGCTGCCATGATCCGTCAAAAATTGCAGTGATGTCTCTACTTCCACACTCATCCACACATTGCTCTACAGCTTTCCTCATGCTTTCAGAAGCAACCTCCTTAGTAGCATGAAGAATAATGTCTGTATAGTGTTTGAATTCAGGAGGGTTAGGCAAGTTCATTAGGGCACAAAAGTTTCGGGCGGCGTCTTCGCCTTTTCCGATGCACCGGAAAGCATAGGCGAGACGAACATTCACAGACGACTTTTTACCAACAACTTTACTGTTTTTTTCAGAGACATAAGATTCACATTCATTGCACTTTATATTCAGTTTCACACTTAGGCCTAGCCTGTTGGTGGGGTATATGGAAAGAGGCCCGTGACACTTGTTGCAAACCGCAGTTTTTGCGATCAGGCTCTGAATGTGTTTTATATTAATCAGGTCATAACAGTCATTTAAGTTCTCAACATCTTCATAAATACTATATTCATCAAAGTTTGTAGAAATCTTCCTGCTAGATGAACTAGGCCTGGATATAGTTGGTTCACTATCTGTGTTGGGCGTAGGTGTCTCAAGCGAACTAGGCATAGGATTTGATTCTAAGCCTAAGCTAGAAATGTTCTCCCCACAAACAATACCACCACAATTTTCACTTCTCCTAACACTCACATGACGACCAGTAAATACCCGTTTCCGTTTTTTGAACACTTTCAAAGTTGACTTCGGCATTTTTTAGAAATTTTCAGACAAAACTTCAAGAATGTTACCAAACTCAGCACTAAACTCAAATTCAAATGTAAACAAAGCAACAGACAACAATAACAAAAACATCACCTGGTTGCCTAGTTACACTATAGACAGTAGAGAAGGCATTACCTGTTGCCAACCAAACCAAAATTAATAATAATACAAATTGAAAAGGTATACTATATAAAAAGAGTTATCCTCTGCAGCGGTGGGTGTCACAGCTGAGAAAAATTACACTGCATGTAATTGAAAAAAGTCATAACTTGAAAAGTAATTCTTAGAATTTTATAATTCTTATATCAAAATATTTGTGAGAAATTAGCAAATAAGAAAATGACAAAAAATAAAAATTGATATTTTTTTCGATTTTTGTCACCTGACTCCCCTTTAATAATTATTTACTACACAAAATGTTTGTAATGTAAAACATTGTTCACCACTCGGAGCAAAAGTATATTATTTATGGTACTTAAATTGTTTTATAGTACGTGGCAGTACAGTATTATTAGTTGCTTGTTGCACTGTTCTACTCACTGCTCAAGCGCTACAACTCATTAAGTGGCATCCTGTACACACACTGTTGATATATACTGAATTGCGGCATAGTGCCACTATTTAGAGTGTAGGCTGGCGCGAGAATTGGCAACATAGCATTAGGGAAGTTATAGTTCCAGCGGACGGCGCGAGGCGCGCTAGCTACCTGTATGGTTTCGTGTTCCACAATTCGGCGTGTACCTGCGCTACTTAAACTCACATCAACGAGTTCAAAAATACTCAATTGTGGCATGTGATGTTTAAACGACGTAATAATGCTGGAAAACCCAAAAAATGATCGAATTAGCTGTGGCACCCTGAAAAAGGTGCCACAATTTTTTAGGGTGCCACAGTACGGCTGTGTGCCTGTGAAGGATGCCACTATTTGGTGAATACAGACACACACACACACACACACACACACACACACAGACATCACTTCGAAAACCACTTTTTTGGGTTCAGGGGGACCCAAAACGGATATATCCACTCATAACTCAACCTCAAAAATGCTGACGAAAACAATACTTTCTCCATATACTATGTATAGGGGGAGAAAGTAAAAAAAACCTTTTTTGCACATAGAAATAAATCTCGCCCCGTCCCAAACGCAAAATTCAATCCTGTCCATCCCAGGTTCTTAAAAAAAGCTATATCTCTGCTTTGATTTCAAACAAATTTTAAAAGTTTTCTTAATTTTAGAATGTAACAAATATTTGGATGTCTTAATCGAATGTGCCAATCCCTTGGGCTAAGTTTATCATTTTTACCAGCTAACATAGAACTCACCTTAGGTTAATGTTAATGACTATCCAATTATACATTTAGGCTTACCAAATATTATCCATTGAATTGCTGAAATTGCTCGAAATATCTTTCACACATAAAAATATTATTTATACTTATAACTAAGTGGTCTTTAAAAAATAAAACTTCTCATCCGTTTTCTGTTACTGAGTTTACTTATTAATGAGTTTACAAATTAGATGACGAATCAGGAATATATAAAACTTATTTTCCTGCATTACGTTGGTATATTATTTATTTGTATCAATTAAGAATACCCAGCTACAATATAAGTACTTTTCTTCTTAACATTAATGATGAAACTTAACAACTAAGCAAAATATAAGGATACAAATAATTAATTATCATTATTAAGTGGAACATTTACAAGAACGAGAAAACTCACCTGTGTATTGTCCTCAATGGCATGAGATGTAGTCACTATCAAGTGATGGGTGTCAGACAATAACTTGTCCAACCCCACGAGAGGCTGGACAGTTCTCTCTCGTAGTTTACTCAACAATCGTCGCTCGATTGCTCGATATTGAGTCGTCTGGTTAGCAAGAGTATCCTGAAATTTTGAGTCAAGTTTCATTTATGCTTGAAATGTTTTATTTTAGGCCTACATGATAAGATAACATTCATTTTATCAGATCTGAAATTGTATGTAGGTAGGTACTGTAGAGTATAGACTATCCGACCTGTGCCAGTTGCAAAGAGGTAGGAAGCGAAAAGGTCCAATAACACAGAAAAATAATGACAACCATAGTCAAAATGTTGAAGGTCATATTTTAATCATCAAACCCTTTTTAAATGTGGATATTATTATGTAATGTGTACATTGAATCCTAAAGCAATAAGGCAAGTAGTCTGCATAAACAAAGGGAGTGTCCAGTCAAGTTCAATTACCTGAAGCCTAACTAGTATTTTCCTGAGTTAAGTCTAAGGTCGCAAGATAACACAACAGCTTAAATGCACAGTCACGCCACACGAAAATAGCATGCAATATCATGGTACCCAATCATCCACAGGGAAGGTCAAATAACTTGGAAAGTTGATTAACCCAAGGACAAAAAACAGATACTATTACCCTAATAATTTACGTGAGGCTCAGTCAGTGCCATTTTAGTTAAACTAGTGAGTGATATGTAAATTTAAGGTGCTATGACAGATTTAGCTAAAAGGTAATACCGGTATTGTTTTCAAACAAGTGAGATATATATAAATACCCTCGCCACAGCAAACCTGCAGACTAAGTGAATTTTCATTTACCTGGCTGGATTTCTACTAAAATATTCCCAAAAAATTGTCAGATTTATTAAATATTTAATTAACGTTAATTTTAGTGAGTAGATTGGTTTGCTGCTACAGGGAAGATATTTACATGTGTTTTTCGATTGCAATGTCGATAGCTTAGTACTAACACGTCTCCTACCGACCGTCAAACTACTCTGTAGCTGAGGGATGAGTATAGTTGGTAGCTAATGTGTTAACACGTTCCCTACCATCCGTCACACTACTCAGTAGCTGAGGGATGAGTAGGCTATAGTTGGTAGCTAATGTGTTAACACGTTCCCTACCGTCCGTCACACTACTCTGTAGCTTAGGGATGAGTATAGTTGGTAGCTAATGTGTTAACACGTTCCCTACCATCCGTCACACTACTCTGTAGCTGAGGGATGAGTAGGCTATAGTTGGTAGCTAATGTGTTAACACGTTCCCTCCGTCACACTACTCTGTAACTGAGGGATGAGTATAGTTGGTAGCTAATGTGTTAAATAAACAAAATTTCCAAGTTTGGTTTTAATATATCCATAAACAGGCAAACTACAACAGTTTATTTATTGTCCATAAGAATAACATGGAAATTTTAAATTTACAATTTTTTAAATTATCTCGGTAACCGTTGGGCATACAACACTTCACTGTACAAAATTATTTCTTTTTTTAAGCTCTACAAAACGGTTTGGAGAGAAATTATAAAATATTGTGTTTTTAGGGTCAAAAATGGGAAAAATCATTTTTTACCCCAAAAAACCACCCATAACCCCCGTTCCCATAGTCAATGCTGGTTTGCGAACTCGTTTGAATAAAAGTAGGTTTGCAGTGTTTACACGTTTGTTCCAAATTTAATCAAAATCGGATAATTTTTCCTCGAGTTATCGCGCTAACGGACACATATCTATATTTATAAATAAATAAATATATGAATTGGAACGAATGGTGTTTTTGGCCTCTGGGGACCTCAAAACAAAAAAGTAAATCGGTTCTGGATCTAGGTCTTACCATGAGACCTGCGGTAATAGCTTATTCCCTTTATGGGAAATTCACAAAAAAATAGGAGAATATCTGGAATTTTAGAAACATTACATACATCTTCCTTCATTTTAAGTGGATGTTAAATGTTGTATTAAATATATATAATATACTGTGATGGTGAGAAGCGGCTTTTTATGGACTTATGCTTTAGAGTGGGCTTTGTATAGCAACCCATCTTCAAACCAGTGTTGCCACACAGCTCCGGAAGAAATCCGTCCTCACAAGCATAAAAATCCCGCTTTTTCCTGTCTAATCCGCGCACAATATGTTAAAAATACGTGCACAATCCGCGCACTCTGTAAATTAACCTGAGTCTAATAATTATTGCTAGAAAACAATCTTTCCATTAATTTTTTCACCTATAACGAAATGTAACACTCAAAATATGTTACAGAATGTTTACACTTACCGTATGTGTGCTTTCAATATTGATTGGACAGATACAAACAAATATTCAGTGAAAAAATATAATGCTATTGCATTATACGAAAATTTGAAAATTACATAATTTAGGGTTTCTCTTATTTGTGAACACTATACAAACAAACAAAATTGGAAAACAATGAACACAAAACCATATTCAATTAAACTAAGCTTATTGTTCTGAACAAACTTTACCTATAGCAGTTAAAAGTTTCAGAAATCAATTAAAATTAGGGTTAGAGGTATCAATAAATTAAGACAGGAGTTGTTGGGTTTCTCTTATTTGTGAACACTATACAAACAAACGAAATTGGAAAACAATGAACACAAACCCACAAATAAAAATATCAATTTTTGTTTTCAAACTAGCTTTAGCCTGATGGACAATGTTACCTTTGAGAATGAAAGCGCATTATTGTATGTCAATTATTCTTTTCAAAACTAACCTAATACATTAATTGTAATAGTATCAAATATTATACAGTTGGTTGGTTTGTTTTGTTTCTGTTGGTTGGTACTTTGTTTTTTTGTTTGTTTGCCTGTTTGGTTAGGTTAGCAGTGTTGCCACAAACCAACGTCTAGTAGAGGAAAATCACTAGAACGGGAAGTAAAATATCCCTAGAAAACGATTAAATCTCTATAAGTGACAACCTAGAGACGTAGACGTAGAAGTAAAGGGAGTGAAGAGAACAATAAATGTACACAAAAAAACATCATCAATCATTCTTGAATGCACTATAATATAATCCTTAGTTCATATACTCATGAAGTGCTCCTCTTGAGTCACAAAGTACAAAGTGTCCCGATTTGCCGTTGCAATTCCCATATATTTTAAAATAATTTACAGTTGGGTAAAATCCACGCAAAATCCGCTCACAAGCCTAGTCCGCACAAAAATCCGCGCAGCCCCCCAAAATCCGCGCAAAAAGCGTAATTACACGCAAAACGGCAACACTGCTTCAAACAAAACTTTTGCAATCAAAATAAGAGTTTCTAATGAAAAATGTTCTAATGAAACAACAAGAAAGTAATACAGGAACTGTCAAATGTTTACCCGTAAAGTCTTCATGCTGTTTCTCAGCTCCACGTGGTTGTCTATGGCTGCCATAAGCGGAGCTATCGGCAATGATCCTGCTGGAAAACTGATCGAGACAGTTTTATTTCTTGCTGCGTAATATCTGTAATTGTGGAAGAGTAGATTTTAGATTTAATTCCTTATGTACAAAAAGTAATTTTAGAGATACAGTAAACTCCCGATTATCCGCGGGATTGACTGGCGTGAATACTGCGGATAATTGAATTTCGCGTATTAGCTGCAAAATTGCCGGTAATGGTTAAACAACGGTCGAAGGCACTAAAAAAAACACACAATTTCTTTAAATAAGTTTATTCTACAATAAAAGGACATACCTGATAACAAAACATAATAAATGTCATCCATGTTATTGAAAATAATATTTACTGTTAAAGTCGTTTTCTTTTGCTTTTTCGTAGCAAAACTCTTTTTCTTTATTTGTGATTTGAGTTTTCTCAACAACACCATCTTGTCACAAAGTGATGCTTCGTCTTGCTCTTCAAGGTATTGAAGAATCTGATCAATGTGTCCTAATGCTGCATCATGAGTAATGGTCCTCTGCATTTCCTCATTATCCTCATTGTCTTCCGGTTCAACCGATTCAATCCCTTGTACTTGATTTTGATTTATGATGCTTTCATCTGTAAGGTACTCAAAATCCAGATTACTGGCACCACATTCAATCCACTCAACGATATTTTCCTCATTTACGGCAACAGATTTAGCTAAATTAGCTAGGATACTGAGTGGAATGTCGTTTTTGTCTTCCTCTTGAATAGTCTCTACATTCGGCAAAATTTTCCGCCAGGATTTCATAAAGAATAGACAGCTTGACAGATTTCCAAGCATTGTTAATGTCATAAATGCTGTCAAGAACCGTGTAGTCTTTGAAGAACGTCTTTAAGTCATCTTCTTCATTGACCCTTTTCTTCAGCAAAGCCGTCCTGTATTTTTTCTTTATCAAAGCAATGACACCTTGATCCATGGGTTGATCAAGGGCCGTGACGTTTGGAGGCAAAAACTTCACACAGAAATTTCCATCGTCCAATTTTAACACACTTTATCCAGGGTGGGACAGAGCATTATCCAGAAGAAGCTTAGCTTTTTCGGGTAGATTTTTTTACCTAAGGTGCTCTCTAACCTGGGGAACGAACTTGTTATCGAACCAGTCTTTAAATATTCGTTGATCGATCGAGCCTTTTTTCTGGTGGTAGTAATGAACTGGAAGGTTTTCGGCTCTTGTTTCTTTAAAAGATCTTGGTCCCTTGCAAGGCGTATAAAAGAAGGTGTGTGCACGCGCATCCCCCCCTCCTCCAATCAGCCAGATTGTGACGTAGTGTGCGAGGCACAGCTGACCGGACTTACACAGGAAACGTTAGTCCACCAACGATTCCTTACAAATAATCCATTGAGAGAGTATTAAAGGAGAGCCTTTCCACCACTCACCATGTGACATCATCATAATTTAAAAACGTTCGTTCACAGCTAAAGCTAAGCCACAATAAAATACAACGTTTGTGTCTGTAATAGTGTAGATTAAAATTCAGTCCAACCTCAGTATAACGAATCTGAAGGGACCGAACTGAATATTCGTTATATCAAGGATTTCGTTAAAATGAGGTTCGTTATATAGAGGTTAGGTTTGCAGGAATTTCGCTAAGTCGAGGTTCATAACCAGCGTCGGTCAATATAGGCCGGGATTTGACCTCATTAAAACACAATTAAAGTAGCATCGCCAGCATCGGCTACAATACTTTACAGTACAGTGTTCATTGTACAGTAGAACCTTCTGTATCCAATAGTCAATGGTAGAACCTAAATTATCCGGCATAATAAAGGTGAGGGATCTCGAATATTGCGCAATCATGACAATGGCATTGACCTTGGTACAGGTTAAAAACTGTAAGTTTAAAATCACAGCTTGTTCTAACCCTCCTAAAACCTAGCCAAACACTACATTGCGTAGTCATAAACCATGTAAAAAACAAAACAAAACAGTAGAAAGTTTTGTAAGCTACTGACTGCTCCGTGATAGGACGGTAGCCGAAATCACGAAAAACTCGTTAAATCAAGGTCGTTGTTATGGTTTGTTCGTTATGTAGAGGTAAAATATACATAGTCTCTTATGGAGAGTTCTAGGGGATTAAAAAAAATTCGTTATATCAAGAATTCGTTATATTGAGGTTCGTTATATCAAGGTTAGACTGTACATTCTATAAGTATTGCTGATCTCCCTCTACTAAAAGCCATACTTGATCTTTTTTAATAACTATACCTAGTGTCTGTACCATTATTATTTATACTAGATAACCTGTTGCTCGAAACCGAGCAAAACTGCAGGCTGTAATTGAAAGAATAACCAGTAAATTGAGAGCTAAATTGACGCTACTACTATTCTTAATGACTGTGTAAATAAAGATTAATTGTCTATTGTCTAGTAAAAAAATAAACAGCAAGACTTAATCTAAGAGTCACTCTAAAGTAATTTCTGAATGATTATATAAATATGAAAAATATAATGTTGTGAAAAGATTGTAAAAGTTGTATACAATATTTAAATATAGATCCGCTCTCGTAATGCTTTGTCTATCCTATCTCTTATGTACTGTAGGTGGGTGCCCTCTATGAGAACATAGATGTCAACCACACACTGTAGTGAGTTTTTAAACTTTTTGTAGCAAGCTAAATCGCTCTTAAAATTCATTTCCATTCTAGCTCCTGAGCTGTTGAATTCAACATAATAAATAGGTTACATACCTTATAAATCCGACAAACAGCTTAATTTTTCTATTTATTATATTAAATCTCTCTCTTTCAAACTCAAACTCAAACTCAAACTCTTTATTTGCCATAAAAAACATTACAAATTTGAGCATAGCTCATGTAACAGATGGCATGTCCATTATGCTAGAGTGTAAATTAATTATTACAATTAATTACAATTACAATTATTACAATTAATTATTAAAAAATCAAATACAATGGATAAGATACAGTCTAACAAAAATGAGAATATATACAGTACAATACCCCTGACTCAGACAGATGTGCTCATTTAAAAAAAAAATCGTTCACTTTATAAGGACATGTTGCAACTAGATGAGTTTCCAGTTTTTTTAAAAATGTGTTAGTTTTTTTTTCTTTTTTTATCTCTGGTGGAAGGTGATTAAACAGTTTAATTGCCATGTAATATGGACCCTTCTCCAAAAGAGACAATCTATGTTTAGGGTACCGCAGAGTGTCTGTGTTTCTTGTACCCTGAGTCCCCAGACTGTTATTTGAAAAATATTGTTGATGTTTTTTAAAGAATTTCAGAACTTCAAAAATATAAAGAGCTGGTACAGTTAATAGTTTAGAATTTTTGAAATATTGTTTACATGATTTTCTAAATTTTAGTTTAAACATTGCTCGAATGGCCTCTTTTTGTAACTTGAATATCTTGTCAATTACTGATGTCCCACCCCAAAGGATGATGCTGTACCTAACAATTGATAAAAAATAACCATGATAAACCTGAAGACATGTCTTTATATCTGAGATGTTGGCAATAGTTCTAATAGCATGAAGAGATTTATTAAGGTTTTTTTGTATGGCCAGAATTTGATCATGCCATTTTAAGTTGTCCTGAAGTGTAAAACCTAGAAAGTTCACACTAAGGGAATTTTCACAAAGTTCTTCATTTGGCATGAGGAATTCCTCATTTATTTGTTTGTTTCTATTGTTAGAAGTGAAAGCTAAGATTTTTGTTTTGGAGCAATTCAATTCAAACTAAGACAGTTTTTGGATAGCCAGTCAGATATTTCTTGGAGAGTATTTAAAAGCTTTACTTTTGTTATTTGTTTGTTTTGACCCATAATTATTGCTGTAGTGTCGTCTGCAAAAAGGTAAAGTGGAATATTAATGTTGATTGGCAAATCATTAATGTACAACAGAAACAATACTGGCCCTAAAATAGATCCCTGCGGCACCCCACAGACAACCTCCCTCCAAGTTGAGAAGTGAGCAATTCTGTCATCATCGAACATTTTAACTCTTTGGAATCGTTTTGTCAGATAAGATTCAAACAGGTCATGTGCTATGCCTCTAAATCCATAATAACTCATTTTGGTTAGCAGCAGTTCGTGGCTGACACAATCAAAAGCCTTGGACAAATCACAGAAAACTCCAAATGTTGTCTGCGATTCATCCAAGGCCCTCAACAAGTCACTCACCAGCTCAAATACTGCCATCTGGGTTGATCTTCCCTGTCTAAAACCGAATTGTTTTTCGTTAATAAGATTATACTTTTCTAAATGAGTAACCATTTGATTTAATATGATCTTCTCCAAAATTTTTGAAAATGATGGAAGCAGTGCTACTGGTCTATAGTTATCTAAACTTCTATTACAGTTTTTCTTATAAATTGGAAAAATGTTGGAAAATTTTAGTTTGTCAGGAAAAATTCCAGTATGTAATACAATATTTGAGATGTGCACCAATGGATTCAAAATGATACTACTAATTTCTTTAATTAATGAAACTGGGATTTCATCCCATCCAGATGACTGTTTAGCCGACAAGCCTGCTATAGTCTTAATCATATCTCTTTTTGTGATTGGACTAAATGAAAAAGTTAAGCTTTGTATCTTTGCATTATTTATGTAATTTATTGCATCCTGAACTGAACCCCCTATGGAAGACTGTTGCCCCACACTACTAAAATGGTCATTAAAAACCTCAGCTATATCTCTTGGATCCTTTACAATGTTATTGTCACCAATTAACAACTCATTACAATGAAAACCATCTGAGATAAATCCAGTCTCTTTCCTAACTACTTGCCATGTTGTTTTTGCAATGTTATTGGAATGCTTGATTTTTGAAGATATACTATTTTTTTTGCTGCAAATACAAGTCTTTTAAAGATCTTTTTGTAGTTTTTATAGTACATTTGAAAACTTGGGTCAGAAGTCTGCTTTGATTTTTTATGGAGTTCTTTTTTATTCCTACTTGAGATTTTTAATCCTTTTGTCATCCAGTCACACCCATATTTAGAATTTTTATTTGAAGTAAATGTTCTAGTTTGAAAACATTGCAAAAACAAATCATAGAATACAGAGAAAA